GTTTACCTTCTTCACTGGCTCTCAGAGCCCCACCGAGGTTAACCCCTGGGGACACCACCCCCCCGTGCTGTGGATGTCCCCGCCGATGACTCCTGTACACCGCTTCTCACCTCTGCACACGGGGAGGATGGCGGGCGACAGGTGTGAGAAGGAGGGCGTTGCATTCCTGAGTCAGAAGGGAGGGCGGAGAATGTTTCTGGCCAGGGTTAACCGGAGCAGATGTTGATCCCAGATGAGTGAGAGCTGAGTCGGTGTGTCTTTGGAGCTTCTTGTGTCTGACACACAGCACGTCTTGAGTGCATTGCAGGACATGTGAGTCGTCTTGTCAGTGAGATGTGCTCCAGGGGAGAAGTTTCCGCCCGGTGCTGGGGGAGCGTGGCTGGGATTGAGCCCTAGTTAAACCTGGCCCTTCTGCCTTCCTTTCAGATACTTGATCAAGTTTTTATCCAAGCTCTCAGAATATCAAGATGTGAACAAGATGACTCCCACTAACATGGCAATTGTGTTAGGACCCAACTTGCTTTGGCCACAAGCGGAAGGGTGAGCACAGCGAGGAGGTCGTGTGGGGGTCACGTTTGGGGCCGTCAGGGCCTGGGTGGGCCGGCCGGCCGGGGCGCCCGACAAGTGCCGGCCTCGTTTGTTGGCCAGGCTGCATTTCGGCCCGGCCTGCTCCGTTGTGGCCTCAGCTCGTCGTCAGGGTCGTCTTGGAGCCCCAGGCCTGCGCGGAGGGCCTTCCCCGAGCTCACCTGAGTCAGCACGTGCGAGGCGAGCCCCTCCAGGCCTGCCTGCCACCTCTGAAGGGCACACATCCTATCCTCTGGAGCCAGAGGGACAGAGGGCTGTCCCCACAGAGAACAGAGGTGGGAAAAGGAAGAGTCTGGCAGTTTTGAGAATCACACCGCGCAGTGCCGGGTGCCTTGGCCTTGGCGATTTTGTCTGTTGCTCAGTGACTCGTCCCCCGTGAGGAGGCCTTCTGGGCACCTCCATTCTGTGGGTGGGGAGAGAGTTTCAGAGAGCTGCAGTGTCCTTCCTGAGAGAGCGAGCTCCCAGCCCCGGGCCCACAGGCTCCGGGCGCTGTCACGGCCACTGACCCGGCCTGCCCCCCTCTGCCCTGTGCCCGCAGGAACATCACGGAGATGATGACCACGGTCTCGCTGCAGATCGTGGGGATCGTCGAGCCCATCATCCAGCACGCGGACTGGTTCTTCCCCGGCGGTACGTGGCGGCGTCCCGGGCTGGGCGGGCTTCTGGGGACGGGCGCCAGCGTCACTGAGTCCTGACCCTTTGAGACCAGGTACTGCTGGCCACAGGTGTGTGTTTGGTGTTTTGGTTGGTTGTTTGGAATATACATGCACACACACAGACACAGACACACACACACACACACACACACACACGAAGAGTCCTGGCAACTTCTTACTTCCTAATTTCTGTCTGAGGAGAGTTCCGGCCTGAAGCTGTGCACTGCCTGTACTGCCCATGAGCGTGGATTTTACTGGTCCTCACCATGGCTTCTTTATGAATCACGAAGTGCTGGAGTAGAAGGGAAAGAGACAGAGGATGAACCTGGACTGGAGATGAGCATGGACTTTGATTTGGTGCTCAGGGTTCACTTGACTGCCATCCTTCTGTTACTGTGTGTCCTTCGAGTTGCCCTCAGTGTGTGAAGGTGGGGCTCAGAGGCGAGGAGATTCTTTTTCATACCTGGTTCCAAATTAGTCAGTAAAGTCAGGTCCCCAAGGTGAGCTTCATAAATGTTCTTAGCCACGGAAGCCCCATGGGATAAGGGTAAGACTCTGGGTGGTGACAGCTTTGAAGAGATCGCCGTCGTTACGCTAAATTCAGCGTTTGCTCTTTAAAGCAGCGGTCCTGGGCCTTTATGTTTAGTCAATATTACGGGTGTGCTTTCAGCAGTGGTGCAGGAAATTGTTAACTCCTGTGAGGGTAAAATATTAAGCATTCTGTGCTCTGTCCATCAGAGGCAATTAACTAATGCTGATCTAACATCAAAGAAGTTTGGTTGTCTTTTTGCCTCCTGTGTTTTGACGGTGACAGCTCTGAAATGAGAGTTCAATTCATGACACAAAGTCAGGTGTGGGTAGGAAGTCAGGATGAAGAAGTAATGGAGGTAGGAGGTGAAGGCATAATTCTCTTAGGTTTTCCAGAGACAGTATCATCATCTATAGATGATAATGTTGCCTGTTATTTTATTTTCTTAACTAATTCCATTGGCTAGCACTTCCTCAGGAGCGTCAAATAAGTGTTAAAAGTGAATGTTGCTCTCATCCCTGATATTATTTAGACTGCCCTGGTGTTTCACTCTTAAACATGAGGCGTCAGAGAGATGATGTTGCCTTTTTCGGAAAGTACCCATCTGTTCCTGTTTGACTGAATTTGTTAATCACAAGTAAGAAATGCTTTATCAAATGCACATAATATTGTAGGTTAGGTGAGCACATGTGTCTGCCTGTTAATAGGATGAATTATATTAAGATGAATTAGTATTAATAGATGATCTCACATTGAACCATGAAACAAGATTTCCTGAGGTGACCCCCTACAGGAGTGGCCACCTCTGCTCATCTCTCTCCTGCCTAGGCCAACAGACCATGCACACCCATTCTTTCCTCCCTGCAGAGATAGAGTTCAACATCACGGGGAATTACGGGAGTCCGGTGCACGTGAACCACAACGCCAACTACAGCTCAATGCCCTCCCCAGACATGGACCCCGCCGACCGGCGCCAGCCCGAGCAGGCCCGCCGGCCCCTCAGCGTTGCCACGGATAACATGATGCTGGAGTTTTACAAAAAGGATGGGTATGAACTAGTGTCCCTTTCTCAGCATTGGGGGTTGGGGAGGGAGGAGTTCAGATGGATTGACAGGAAGGCTGCACTTACCAGCAGCGGTTTAAGTGACTTGTGGCAGTAAGCTTGTCACCTTGGTCTTGATGCCTCCCACTGTGCTATTCTGCGTGAGTCTCTAGGCTTGCTTCCCACCCTCTGGGCCAGAGGTAAGTGCAGCCTTCTGAGCTGACAGTTGTGATCAGCGTTGATTACTTCTCATCAAAAGAAAAAAAAAATCGGTCAACAGGGAAATTAAAAAAAAAACATATTTAAACACTTTATTTTGACTCCAAATTTACAAATGTATGTCAGTCAAATTCTCAAATCCTCCATGGTTTTTACTTCGAAGGTGGGTCTGCTCATTTGCACCCCGACCAACAACACTCTTCCATCAGTAACACCTATTCTGCATAGTTTTCCATCCCCAGTTCTCTCTCTTTAAAACAGAGAGAAACCGAAACCTTAGAACAATCTGAGTGTAAAATCCTTGTAAGTTTTTAAGATTTTGCTTTCTCATCTTTTATGAGCAACATCCCCACCTCGTTTGATGCAGTTGTGACGAGACTCATAAATGTATCCAACTTGCACAGGAATGACCCTCTGGCACTCACATTAGATCAGTTTACATAATACGTACTTGCGTAATGTGATTCCCATAACAAGTATAATGGGCATAAACGGGCTTCGTAAGGAGCCCAGCTGATTCATGGTAAGTGCCTGCTCAGCCATCGCATCCAAAAACGTGGGCTTGCACGCGTGTTCCGCAAGCTGAGGCATCGGCTGGTGCGTCCCACGGAGGCACGGTTACATTCCTTTGTCAGGCAAGTCAGTTGAGTACACGTTGGTTAGGAATGAAAAATTACTCTCTAAAATAAAATGTAACAACTCCTTTGAAATAGGAGCACAGGCACCAATGGGAACGTGAGAAACTCAGACCAAGGAAGGGCAGCAGCTACAGCCTTCTGCTTCCTGTCAGGCCGCGAGGCCACCAGAAAGATCTGTTTGTTTGAAAGGCATGTGGTCTAAAGGGCTTCAGAGGGAAGGTGGAAAACCAAGAACACAGATGTGCGAGCCTCTCTTTCCACCCTCTTCTCCTCTGGGTGGGAGGCGGCACTGGAGACCTGTACGTCCTGGGGTGATGGGGAGGGCTCAGGAGGGCCAGCGTCCCTGCTCGTCACCTTACCCGCCAGAGACTCTTCCCCTGAGAGGCAGGCGGGGATGTTTATCTGCTCTGTGCTGTTCCTTGTTCTCCATCTGGTGGGGGAAGGAAAACTGGAAATTCTTACAATTTGAAGGGAGTAGGGTGAGATTTCTTAAACCTCGAGAAAAGAGTGTGCTTAGAATCTGATCTTTGCATCGTGAGAGGGACAGAGAGCACGTGCTACAAATGCATTGGAATTTGTTTTTAAAACTCAGTTTAAGGGACTTGGTTCCTTTGTGAAGTGTCTCTGGCCAAGAGGATGCCCTGGAGGGTGAGTTCTGGTTCTTTGGTCCCAAGTGTTTCTGTGTTAGAGGTGGTGCCCCTGCCCTCCCTGCCAGACCTCGTCTGGTTCCCAGTCCCCTCTGGAAAGCAATCCCAGTGGCCTCTGTGAGAAAGTCATCACTGTGGAATCTCCGGGCATTCAAAGTCTGCTGGCCTCAAAGGATGCAGGCAGATACCGAAGCATGAAGGATGGTATTTGAAGCCGTTGCCTCCTCTCTGACACCATTCTCTCGCTCAAGAGCTCTGTAAATGTCACGGCCGTTCTCCGTTCTGTTCTGACTTTAAAGCTGAAACTGCCACCAGATACTTCAAGGGCTTGCGAGATATATGTCGTCCATTACTGGTGCACACGAAATGAAGGTGCTTTAAAATGTGAACTAAACGTTACACTAAGTGGAGGGCTTACCGGCTTGGGGTGACCCTCGCTGAGTTGTCTGGGGTGTCGGTGTCTATGTTTTGAAGTGCAGTGAGCCTGAAGGTGATCAAGTCTTAACTGGTTCTAAGGGAAACAGAAACCAGAAGTGCTGGGTGTCTGTGGGGAGAGGAAAGGGGTCTGCCCCAGCTGAGTGTCTTGTTATGTCAGCAATAGGAGGGGAATTTTCCACATTTGTCCCAATTTCTGACCTTTTAAAATCAAGATGAGATGCATCTCAAAGCTTTCAAACTGCCCCCCTTAAAACACTGACAGAGCTCACTTTATTGAAATGTCTTGTTACTTTTTAAAACAGAAAAATCAGATAACATTTGAAAGAAATGGTAAGTTCCCCATCAGTGCCCATGCCATTTTGCTGGGCCGAGGGCTGTGGTGTCCTGGACATTATACAGAGTGGTTCGCTCCCCTCCCAGCCCCTGCCTTCCCAATTCACGGTGACCCAGGAAACTGAGTTTCTTCAGCAAGTCCTGGTCAGATTTCAGAACTCACAGATACATTTTCTTGTGCAGGCAGGATAATGGTCCTCCGAAGACAGCGGGAACTAAGCCCTAGAACCTTGTAAATGTTACCTGGCTTCGGCAAAGGGTCTTCGCAGATGTGACTGAAAGAGGGATCTTGAAATAGATTATTCTGGACGATCAGGGTGGGCCCTCCATGCAGCTGCGTGTATCGTAAAATGCAGAGGCAGCTTCAGCACAGGCACACAGAGAGGGAGAAATGTGAAGACAGAGCAGAGGGACATCTGAAGATGTGGCCGAGAGCCAAGGAAAGTCAGCAGCCTCCAGAAGCTGGAAGACGCAGGCACAGATTCTCCCCAGGGCCTCTGGAGGGAGCACAGCTCGGTGGCCTTGATTTCGGTCCAGTGATACTGATTTTAGACTTCTGGCCTCCAGAACCGGGAGGGAATGAATTTCTGTGTGTACCTACTTGGTGGCCCTCATTGCCGCAGCTGTGGGAAACCTGCACCTCGGGGCACGCCAGGAGCTTTGCGGCGAACGTGGCAGCAGGTGCCTTGATTCTCCTCCCACTGACGGACGTTGAAATCCCACGGTCTTTCCTTTGACTCCGAGTTCGCCTTGGTGACTTACTGAGCTCACAGAACGTGGCAGAAGTGATGTTCTGGGTCTCCTGAAGCTGGGTCGCAAAATGCCTTGTAGATGATGCCTGGGTCTCTGGGAACACTTGCTCTTGGAACCCAGCTGCCATGATGTGTGGGGGTCCAAGCAGCCCCCAGGGGAGAAATTGAAACCCCAGCCTTGCTCCCCAGCCAAGCACCAACTTAGCAGCTTAGTGAGTCCTCCTGAGCCGTCCAGGCCAAGTCAGACACCTCAGCCAGTGCTGTGTACACAGTCAGACGGTCCCTGGCCAACTGCCCCAAAACTGGATTTCTGGCCTGGATAAATAAGCTACTACATTTTGAGGATGGTTTGTTATGCAACAAAAGATAATCAGAATAAGCTTAAAAAGGTGGGGGGGGATACTGATGTCCTGTCTGCCCCCCAATCTTCTTCCTGCAATCTGATTTCATCGGCCTGGGCTGGGATCAGGCATTGGTCTGGTTCCGAAGTGTTCCAGAATATTCTGATGTGCATTTTGGGCCGAGAATGGAGTCAGAGGAACATTTTGCCACTCTGAGTGAAGAATTTGGTAATGATGCCATTAAAAAAATTTATCACAACTTTCCTACTTCAGCCATAAGGCTGGTGTGACATAGGGGCCACCCCAGCTCTGCTGATGCTCTGAGTGACAGAGAGCAGCGTAGGCCACACTGCTTGCTGCTCTCTGCCCCTTGCAGAGCTCCCACCTGGAAGTTTTAGGATACGGCCTGTGACGTAACCGTCACGCCTGGTTCGTGTTGGTTGTGTGTGTGCTATAGAAAGGTGACGCTTATCTCTTGGATCATTTGTCCCAGATGATAAAGGAATCGTGTAAATCCCTGTTTTTCTGACGGTGGCATCATAAGGGTTGTCTCTGGTCACATCAGATATCTTTTACGTGCGACCTGCTGCCTGCAGGAGTTGGCCAGGGTGTCTGCATTGTGTGGCCTGTGGGTCAGGACGAAGCCAGGGGTCGTGAGCAGATGTCGGTTGTGTTCCCAGCAGAGTCTGAACGCAGTCAGCAGGGGGTTGTTGAGGGACCACAGAGAAGCCCAGAGGCAAGAAGAAACTGGCCTCAGTCACGAAGCCTCCTTCATAGCTTCAGTGTCCCTGTGGCTTGTCCGCCGCCTCCTGCCTGTGGTCCCCACTCGCCCTGCCGGCTGGCACAGGGCTGTCCCACTGCCCCTGCATAGTTCTGTTCTCTGGACCCCTAAACCCACTGGTGGCAAGACCCCAGCAGCATCTGTGAAGCAGCCCGTGGACCCTGGGATCCCAGCGGGGAGGTGGTCTGTCCACAGAAATCCCAGTGACCTTGGCCTTTTATACGCAGAAGTCCAACGTGCAGCCCCTCTTTAAGTCTTGAAACCTGACGTGCCTGTGGTCATTTCACTTGCTCCAGTGTTCAGATCCCCAGGGGGTCTCCACCAAAGCCAGGTGACAGCAGCCCCTAAACCCACGAGGGTGTCTACACTGGGGCTAGCAGTCTTCCTCGGAGCTCGGTTTAGCGCATGACTCTGACTCGGCCCTGCTGGAAGCCGCTCTGCAGGGGGGTCTTGTTCCATCCCTCCGCCCCAACCCGGACCTTAGCCCTGGACGTTCTATAATTTGGAACAAGCACGTTTAATTGAGAAGTCTGAGAGCAGTCTGAATGGTGCTCTGGGGAACGCTGGTTTCACCGATTGTTGGTTATGTCGGGGTTGGAGGGGAGGAGATGGAAATCTAGGGTCTTGTGAATTCTTGAACCCTATGACTCAGCACGTTGAAACCACTTTGAGTGTCTCACTTCTTAGGACCTTTTCCACACTGTTACGCACTGTGCATCTCCACGAGGGGGCGGTGGCATCCTTTCCTTAATGTATTAGGTCCCAAAGCCTGTTGTCACGAGACAGTCAGAACTCGGCTTCCAGGGGACTTGTGTTTGGGATTGTGGGTGCTCCACGGGGCTGCAGTGGGAGGACAGCCCACATAAGGCGGCCACCCTGAAAGGGACTACGTCACGAGTGGATGGTGCAGGAGTTTTGCTTTGGTTACAGCCTGACCTCGGATAAGACAAGCTTACCTCCAGAGTCATTCTGGGTACCGACGGGAGCTTGGACTCCTGTTTTGGGTTTGGATTGGTCAACTGGATCTTTGAGGGGTGTATTCTTGGCCCAGGCCTTGCCTCCGCTTCCACATTTCCAGGATTCACACATTTGTGGATGCTGAGATCAAGTCTCTGAAATGTTGCCGGATTCCAGGCTTTATTTGTACTGGGGAACTTAAGAAACTTCATTGTTAGGTCTTTAGGAGAGGAGTGATCCCCAGAGGAGCTGGAAATACCTGACCCCGGCCTCCCTCGGGGAGCACACTCAAGGCTGAGCCACGATTGCTAGGCTCCTTATTCACCGTTCACCTTGACACCCACGGGCCCCTGCCACGGCCGCCTGGCCTCCGAGTTCATCTTAAATCGTCCCGGGACCCCCACAGCTTCTGTGGGTCTTTGGGGGTGCTGCCAGTTTCTCTTGTCTCTTTTCTCTTGGGGGGAGGACTTTGCGAAACGTAACTGAGCTCTAGAATGAAAATTACAACTTTCCAGATCAGTATAGACGTGAGTACCTCACAGCCGGACACTGGCTGCCGTCTCTGGCTCAGACTGTCCCTGGCCAGGATTCAAAAACAGCGCGACAGCGGGGGTGCGGGGGCTAGCTCAGTGGTAGAGTGTGTGCTCGGCGTGCATGAGCCCCTGGGTACCCAGTGCCTCCGTTAAAAGGCTCTGGGGAAAAAAAAACAGCATGACAGACAGATGCCTACTCAAGAGGGGCAAAAGGAAAACAAAAAGAACCACTAACCCCTGACAACTTAGCACTGAGAATGGTCCGCAGCAAACCTCTGTTCTCAGTGATTGCTGTGTCCTCTCTCTACCCACCTGCTCTTGGAACTGGAATTTCGGCTTTTTAATTTCCCAGGGGCAAGGCTTTTTGCCTTCTAATTTTTCAGATCTGGATCTTATCCTTTCCCTGTGTGGCCTGCCGGGTTACCGACTTGGAAACAGGACCGTCCCTGCCTTTCCTGCAGCGTGGGGGTTTTGTACGTCTCACCTTCCCACCCCCTTTCCCTCCCCTCTCCTTACTCACCTGTGAGCTGTGGCGGGTGATTTTTCATACAAAAAGAAAAGTCACTTTAACTAGGGGGACCAGCTAAATTGAAATAACTTCATGGCGCAGTAATTACACTGACCTTGACGGAGACAACCTGACTGTCCAGAGGAAGGCAGTTTCTCTGACACTAATGTCTGTATGTTTCTGTCCCTGCAGCCTTAGGAAAATCCAAAGGTACAGTATCCTCGGGTAGCCACGAGGCCACGTTCAGTCTCTGAAAACTAAGCAAGCCGGGCCTTAGGGAGCTGTGCGAGGGGCTGGCTGTGTGTGGCTGCTTGGACGACTTACTGGGAGCTGACTGTGTTCCCTGTCCCCGGGGCCGGGGCCTGGCGGGCTCCTCCCCTGCTGTGTAGACCCTGCAGGGTCGTAGTGCAGCCAGCGTCCTGGGGCTGGCACGGGAACCTTGAGGCCGGTCCCGTGCGCCCCTCGCAAGTGACGAGAAGAAGGGTGGAGGTATAGATGGCTCCTGCTGGTCGGTGCCCCTCGCTGTGCTGCCCCCTCCATCTCCCGCTGGGGAGGAGTGGGCGCCCCCGGGAGGCCGCACTCTGCTCGGAGGGAAGCTTGGCGGGCGGGCTGCTGTCCTGTCAGCCGTGCCTGGCCTGCGCGGACCTGCCAGGGATGCGCCAGCCCCTGGGGCCGCTGCCTGCTTCCCCGGGCTTCGCTGCTGGGCCGCTTCGCGGGGGAGGGAGCCCGCCGCCCGGCACGCGGGGGTCACCCGGGTGCCTTTGTGTCCCTCGCCAGCATGGGCGTGAGGGTCATGGACACGTCGTGGGTGGCCCGAAGAGGCTCCTCGGCCGGCAGGAAGCTCTGCGCCCCGCCGCCCACGCAGCCCCCCGCCCCGCCCGCCGAGCTCGCCGCCC